CATTTCTCGTATTATATTCAATAATTTCTTCCATGCCTTTACACAAATTTGTCTACGATCGACGATTCATACTAATTGGTATTTGCTTTTTATGCCTCTCTAATTAAGAGGGTATGCACTTTCAATCGCATTTACGTAGACAAGGCAGAAGCAAAGATTATTAAAGTAAGAGAAGGAAGAATTGAAATAAAATAAAATTAGAATAGTTCTGGGTTTTTTGTAATCTTTGATTTATAATCATTGCCATTTATCGATAGCATCTAATACAATGCAATGAAAAGCAATCATAATATCACCATATAATAAAATGCATTAAGAAATCGACGAAAAAGATAAGCGACGAAATTATTTTCGAAAAATTACTTATCGATAGAAATAAGAAAAATGAAAAGAAAAGAAAAAAATATTTATGATCAGACAAGAATATGAGAGACATTTTTCATGAATTAAATCTTCATATGAGACACTCTACATATATATATATATAGATATATATATTTATATATATGAAATGCACGTTTCAGTTCAGAGCAATACATATTTTGTGTATTAAGTAAAAGGAATATTTATGAGCTAATATAGGAGACGAGGAGTTTTTTCAAAATATATATACATATATATATATATATATATAATAGGTAGTGGCGTGTATTTTGATCAGCGTTATCTATTAGCGAAAATGATAAAGTGATGCAAAGTATCGATGTAAAATTTTTCCCAATAAATGCTCAAAATACATGAAAGCACCAAATATGTGTAAATACGAAAACAAATTTAATGCATCATAGGAACACACAATAGTACTACACACATTTAAAGATAATGGCAGACTTTAGGAATTTATCAGTTTTAGATTCAATATATTTTATTTTAGATTTATATCTTTAAGTGATAGGGAATGATTTATATTTTATTTAAAAATGTGTAAAGGGATTCTACTCCAACAAATAAGATAAAATATATTTATGCATGCCTTTAAAACGAATCTTTGATACCCATCAGCTTACGCTTACATAGATAGGCCAGTCGCGTATTTCAAACAAAATATTCGCTTAATAAAGAGTTTGCTTTAGGGAAAACTTCATATTTCATATTTGACGGACGCTTGCCATCAAACGTAACCAAGTGATTTAATTGTATGAGTTTCAAAAATCGCGGGCTAAGATCAATGCTATTTCTTTTTGCGAACGGGTTAATGGGTTTGTGGAAAACTTTGTTCAGCACGAAATTATGAATATGAATGTTTGTTGGAAGTTTTTTATGAAAAGCTTGGAATTTCCGCACATCAATTGTACCTGCGTTGGAGTACTTAATATAGATATTACTTTTCATAGTGTATTTAAAAGTGAAAATTCAGTGTAGTACAAATTAGAAAAAATATTCCTTCATAGCACATGGTTTTTGTAAAACTTTGAGAAGAAATAAACTACAAATCATTTAAACACAAAAATTGCCTCAATTTTGGTAAAAATTTTTTTTTCATTTTCAAGAAAATTTGTAAAAAAAAAGAATCAAGTATAACGAAAGTCCTTTAAAAGAAAATTCAGTGAAAAACATAAGTGTTTTCCATTAAAGCATGTTCCTATGAAATCTTGAGATGAAATTTGAGATACGTTAGTTGTGAAGCAGAACTTCCTACCTGCATAGATGCATAGATGATTAAAGTTTTAATGTGTTCGGTCAAAAAGTTGCAATTTCGCACCCAATCACGCATTCGAACCGCCGTAAGAAAGTTCGCACTTTAGTCTCTCCATACAAAATCGCACGACTTTGAGTAAACAGAGCAAATCGACAGGAAGCGTATCAATATGTAGAAAATAATGATATATCCTACCCATATAAAGCACGCAGAAGAATTTCAGATAGATCCATTAGTTTCATTATAACCATCGATCCCGAATCGCTTTCTAAATGCTTGTCCGTCCATTTGTTTTCTTGACTTCAATTTAATGAAATTTAGTATAGTGACGCGTTTTGGCTCAATGTGCCATTTTATCAAGCACTTCTCAATATAACACTTTGTTTTGAAAAGTTTTCCTAAATGAATAACTGTAAACTGTGACTGGGCCGTGTAAATATATATTAGTTAAGAAGAAATTGTAATCTAATCACCTATCTACGGTAAGTAGACTTCGTATCGATGTTCGGTTAAAAGCGCAAAATTCTCTTCATCTTTTATCTGTTTCCCTTGGATTTACTATCTCTCTCTCTCTCTCTATCTATCTCTCTCTCTCTCTCTTTCTGTAGATTCTCTCATTAAAAACTCGAAATTGACTTAAAGTTTGTCCCTTAACCGTAAGATTACGAGCACCGTAAATTGCTTCGACCCTCGCTTTATGCGCCGGATGGTAGACTTTTAAAATATTTAAATTAAAACAACAAGTTAATCTAAAGAAAAGGATATGAAAAGATTTTAAAATTTAGGACAATTTTAGGAGGCAACTTGAACGAACGAAACGAACGAACCTTATAAGACGCAGCAGTTACAGTTATGGTTACGGTTTGATTAAAGCATGAAATTGAAAAAAAAAAACAAAGAAAAAACAAAAAAAAACATTTATTTGAGTAAATTTTAAGAGAATTTCTTTCTAAATTTTATATATCGATAAACAATCTATGGATTAATATCAGAAAAGTTGACTCTGCCTACAATTTAAAGCAATTTACTGTCTGGTAGTGTATCAATGTTTTTACAAACCTTATGTCTTTTTTGATAGAAGAAAAACGTTATGCATTTCACTTAAGCACTTATGAAATTTATATGGCACGACCGGCACTTCGCTGCAGCATTTTCGAAATTTTTAATTTTTCTTTTAAATCTTAAACAATCAAACTTATGCAAGGACTTTGCTTGATTACTTATTGTAAAAATAAGAAAAACAACAACAACAAAGAGAACTCTGCAAAAATCATAAATAAAAAAGAAAAAAAAAAAGTGTTTGCAAAAGTTTCTTGTGGCGTAAGAATGTGCCATGCAGTACAAATCTAATAAATGTTGATGATGCAAAATAACAGGTGCGCATTATGAAACAAAGAAAGAAAGAAAGCAAGCAAGCAAGCAAGTGTATGAATGCATAATAAAATCTATGTAAATTTACAAAATAAATCGCCAGAATTAAGAGGAAAAGAAACTGAGCTCTGCAAATGCAAGTCTTTCCTTTTTTTTTTCTTTCATGTTTTATGTTGCTGTGTGTTGGTTAAAAAAAAAATAAATAAAAAAAAAAAGTTGAAAGGATTTTCTTCTCCCAGCCTGAATTATTATCGCTTACATTTAAGATAAGATGTATACGTACCACACCAGTCCATGCATACGTTTAGTTGAAGTGTGTGCATGAAAAATGAATAAGTTACTGCTAATAATAATAATGCTGGTATTGCTGCGGCCTCTGCCTCTGCCTTTGCCTCTGCCTCTGCTTCCGTCGGCTCCTTAGTAAACATATTATAATATAATAAAAACGGAGAGATTATTAAAATTTCAACTCCCAAGCAACTTAGCACAGCATATCCCATTTTTTTACTCTTTCTTTTCATCTTTGTTGCAATGAATGAAAAACTTTACACGCAATCACACAAACGAAAAATAAAGAGAATCGTTAAAGGGAAAGTAGTATCCACCTTAAGACGACTCTCTTGATCTGCCATATTCTTAACCATCTAAGGAATTATATATATATAAATACATAAATTATATTCGCCTTAAAACTTACAAATTTGCGATAATCATTGATTCCTTTATTTCGCATTTTCTTACTAAATAGTAAATGAATGAAGTACATGAACACATCGGTAAAGTTTTAAGAGGATTAGCGATTCGTTTACTCTCTGCATTATTCACTGTATAATTAACTTATAATCATGTTATCTTATAATTATTATCTCACTCTCGATGTCCGCCACAACGTAATCGGAATATGCTACATCTTAGATAGTATAGCGCCGTTTGCAGCAAAACATATGAATGTCTTCGATTAAGCGAAGTAGAGTCTGTCTGCTCGTCCCGTCCTGATATTCTTAAACTGGCAAATATAGGAAATTGAAGTGAAACATTAAATGGCGATTCCTAAAAAATTGCCCTTGGAGTATTTCGAGGTACTCTCGAGAAATATTGAACAATTGCGTATATACCTCTATGTTTGCTTTAAGAATATAAGTTCGATCGATTCAGTTCGTAGATCACTTTTGCCCAAGCCAGCGAACTGAGTCGATAACGATAGGTACTGCCCTACATCGATCCGGCTGATTTAAGCGTAAGTTAAAGAGATTAAATGACCCAACGATGTATGTTTTGCACAAGAGGAATGTATACGATCGACGATATATATATATATTCGTTTTTTTTTCTTTTTTCTTTTGATTTATTTCTTTAATTGTCGATGAGGTATTGACTTACATAGGAAGTAGTTTATCGTTTATATTGCATACACTAGGTCTTTCAAATCCAATGGAAGCATAGATTTTCACAAATTAACTTACAAGAAGGTTTATATATCTATTTAGAATTTTACGTTTGCCAAAATGAGAGTGTTTTGCGTCAAGTTACTCAGATCGTTAAATACAAAATTATTCTTATCGCTAGTAAATGCTAAAAGTAACTGTCTATATCTTGAAAGTTGGTCAGCTTTCGATCTTTTCTTTGTTTTGGTATTTTTTTTTTTAACTCAGTTTTAATGCCCGAAAGCTCTTCAAAACAAGTAAGGTTAACTGGGAACACTCTTCCCTTACCTTTTTAAAACGCCGCAAAAGGAAATTGTAATCGAAGAGGTGACTTTAATTACATCGACTGCTCGAAAGTATTTGAAGAAGTCTTTAAGGAACATTTCCGAATGTTATATATGAATAAGAAAAGTTACTATAATCAATGTAGTCAATGGGTAAAACTAAAGGAAAATTATCTGCATTTATATTATAGTTTTGACCGTCTCTTCGCAGCAATAATGTATGTTTTTGGCTGTTTGTAAACATTTTCATTTTCATTTTTTATTTTATTATATTATCCTTAGATATGGACCACATTTTGAGGATGTGCAACGAGTAGGGCAACCGACCAATCTGACTGTACAAGCGGGCAGTAGCATACATTTGAATTGCAGAATTTCACTCCTCCAAGATAAGACGGTAAGTGTGTTAAGCTGCAAAAAAGAAAAGACAAAAAGAAAAAGAAAAAGAAAAAGAAGAAGAAGAATGCTAGAAGCAAAAGGACGCATGTAAAAGGTGTACTTATGTATAAATATTTGAGTGCGTCCTTACTAAAGTTCTTGGTTGGCTGGTTGGTTGGTTGGTTGGTTGGTTGGTTGGTTGGTTGGTTGGTTGTATGCTACGTATACGTGGTAACTGGAGAATTAGCAAAAAAGTTGGGAACAAAGCAGAAAAACTTTCTTCGCTATTGTACTTTTTGTTGCCGACTATCGGAAGAATGAAACGCTGTTGCTTAAGAAATTTTGTGGAGGTGTTAAACTTTTCGTTATAAGCACTGATAGACCGAATAGTTACTTTTCCTTACTTTTTCATAATAAGCCTCTTATTTACTCAATTGCACTCTGACATTTTCTTTTGCTTTTAAGTTTTGGCAAAATACTCCCACTTTTACTGTCCATAAACTTTGTATGTATTTTTTTTTATTTTTTTGTATGATTTTTGAACGTTTCTTTTATTTTATGTTACTTTAACTGCATTTAACAAATTGTTATTTAGGCGAAAAAAAAAAAAAAATCATTTAAGAAAGAAGGACATAAAGAATTTTTCAATTAAGTGAAAAATATTTATGATGTATGTTTGCATATATATATGTATGGTTAAAGGTCTCTTGGGTGCGCCGTAATGTCCAGGGCGAGAATGCTTTAGATTTATTAACGGTTGGCTTGCATACCTATACGGGCGATAAACGTTATAAAATGGAGTTTCAATATCCGCATAATTGGCGTTTGAAAATCACTAATGTAAAAAAAGACGATGAAGCCAGTTACGAATGCCAAATATCTACACATCCGCCACGTGTGATTCAAATCAATTTACATGTAAACGGTAAGTAAGTGTTTATAGAAACCGCATTACAATCAATAATAGTAATGAAAACGTTATTCATATGATGGATGCATTGAAAGCATTAATTTTCATTCCTCTGCATATTGTTTTGCTTTAGCTCCAAAAGTTATGATTGTTGATGAATTTGGTGATCCATTGCAAGAGAAATACTATGAAATCGATTCTACGTTACAGTTATCATGTATGGTACGCAATGTAGCGATGAGTTCGTCAGTCGTATTTTGGAAACATGGTGAAGACGTTTTAAATTACGACGTAACAAGAGGTGGTGTAAGGTAAGATCTACTAGAGGAAACATTCATTTCACATTTATTGCCTCTTTTTTTTTTTACTCATCACCGAAGTAGTCGAGTTGTGTTCCGTTTTGTCAAAACGTCTGCAATGCCCAAAACTAGGCTTCAGCGTTCCCACAAGGTATATCAAATTCTGAATCGATATAACCATGTCCGTCTGTCCGTCTATGCAATATCTGTTGTAAACATTCTCCTGGCCGCTATCGATTTCAATAGATCAAAATAGGCAGAGTTGGCATTGTAAGTTCTTGGTCTTTGCATTGTAAATCGGCCGAAGGATACGCCCATAGTACATATAGGTAAAGTGAAAACACTTCTGTCTTTCAAAGAGTATAAAAAATTTGTTTTTTGCTCTTTACTCGTAAGCCGCAGCAGATAGGGAATTTACATAAATTTGAACATATATTTTACGGACGATGCTGTAATAGCTCAAGAAAAGCGAAAAAAAGCGTCCACGCCTACAGAATTTCATTTCTTTTCAATACCTTTATGAAACGCAGAAGCAAGCTTTAAAAATCCCATAAAATTTCACATTAACCCTTGGACAGTTTCAAATTACGAACGCACCTGCCCATGTCCGTCTGCCCGTCCGTCCACCTGTCCGTTCGCCCAACCGTGTAGTATCTAAGGTAAACGAATTTCCTTTGGCTATAAATTTGCAAAAGAAATTGAAAATGATCAAACCCGGCTAAAGGACATGCCTACAACGCCCACACGCTTATGCGGCAAAAACTATGCTTTTCACGTTATTTGCTTGTTACACATAAACTACAACACATGCACCCTGTAAATATTCATTTTTATTCTGAAAATAGAAAAAATCAGCCGCGCCCACCTAACGTAATAGACATTGAAAATTTAGTTCTTCTTTTAAATCGGTGATGGGTATAAAAGATTCGGTCACGACCAATTATAATTTCTTTACTTGTTTTTTGTTTTCAATTAATTTTTTTTGTACTTTACCTCTGAAAGTCATTATACCTGTCTATCTGTTGAAAGTTTTTATTTAGTTTGACCTACAATGTGTCCGAAAACTTATTGTAATTATTATCTGACATTGATAAGCAATTAAAATAGTTACGTCTTACGCTTGCTGATGTCACATGGCAGCCAATTGACATTTTTCTTGATATAACAATTATTCCGTTAAAGGGAAGCGTCCTTAAAAATTTACCCGGCCATTTAATCGAAAACATGATCAATTTTATATAACCCACTTAATAACTTTAGACAGGTTCTATTATTAGTGTCTTAATATTTTCAATAAATTATTGCTGACATAAACTTTTTTTTTTTTTTTTTTGATAAACAAAAGCATTTCGCACGCCATTTAGTGAGATATGCGCTTTTCCCCAATATTTGTTTAGGATTAAAATGTTAAGTTTTTCGTTTTAATTATAAATGTCAGCCTAACGGAGGAAATGTCATTCGTTCGTTTAGAGATAAAAGTCAAGGGCTTACAATTTGCAGCATTTTTTTATACATTTATTTATTGATTCTAATAAAAACATTAACGACACATTGTCAATATATATATATTTTCGTATAAATATATGCGCACATACTTACAAATATAGATATTTCTATATAAGGTATCTTGATAAAAACAAAAGAGCAGAAGAAGGAATAAAATATAACAACAATGGGCAGTGAAATTTAGAAAAAAACACTACAGAGGGCATGGCCCATCATTAAGTACCCTACAAAACTGTTACAGTTATCTATCTATATATCCGCCCGATGGATAGTCAAGCACGTAAGAATCGCGACTACCAAGTCAGTGTTTACGGGTTCGAATCCGAAGTACGTTAGAGCTTGCTTCGTTCGGAGCCATAGTACAGGAGTAGTCAGTCGGTAAAGGCATACCACTTATCGATTGGGAACGCACTCACCACGTTCCGGTCAGCATCTTTTTCTTTTCTTTTTTCTCCTCCTGAACGTTACCGCGTTACGTGAATAGATTACGTTCTCTAAATGATTACTCATATCAAAAAAAAAAAAAAAAGAAAAACTGTACATTTATATATAAAGCCTTATTGAAAATAAAGCATTACTTAGGAAGCGCTCGGAAAAGTATTTATTTCTAGCGTAAAAGTAACTGCTTTTACAGAGCCTGCTTTTCTTATTTACGGATTCTTTTAAATCCATTTGAGAACCAAACGGCAGGCAGCTAAGGCGTATCATGGATATTTATTTGCTTCTTGTTTTCACTTATGCTTAATATGACTTCAATTAATTCAAGTACAGTTGAGTAGATGCGCCGCAGACAGATAGCGGACAAAAATTGTAGCCTAACGTTGATGAAAGATAGCTGATGTAAGATTGATGTATTCGTCCCATAGTATTTTTTGTACTTTTTATGCTCGTTCCTTCAGCGTAAAAACAATCTTTAGAATACGCACATACGTACATATATTTCATAATCTTTAAAATCAAATTTATGCAAACATATTGTTTTTTTTCTAATTGCTATCGCTTAACCACTATTCTTCTTTGCAATAGGAATATTCTGAACTTTTTCCATAGTATCAATAAATTGCAAAAATATGCGTTGATATAATATCAGGCGAGGAAAATGAAAAATTTCGTGGCGTTTTCTCTAAAGAGATAATTGTAGAATTATGCGAAGACTAACCCTACATTAGGCCATAAAAAAAAAAGAAAAGAAAACGAAAGCGAATTATGTGATGTCTGTTCAATCAAACGGGGGTCATTGCATTTGTAAAAGTATTCGCTGTATCTTCCGTATCCCAGTCATCCATCGCAGACTTGTAAACACATCAAAAGTCAACAATAAGTAAAATGTTCGCTCGTCGCCCTTTTGTTCTAAACATTTCAATGTTGAAAATGCGTCGCGTTCTAGTCGATCAAATTCTTCAGGAAATTGATTAATCACTCAGCCACAACTTTAATTTGAATCATTGCCAGGATGAAGTTCCACATGACTTAATATTGAAAAATTTAATCTAAATGATTGGAATCATTTTACTTCAATTGATTTGAGGTTGATCTTGATCAAAGATGAATGATGCTGCGAAAAACTCCTCTTACCTATTGTCTGATAAGGTAATGTTTGCAATTGAAGTAAAGCGAAAGATGTGGTCTCCGATCGCAATAGTGCCAGATTGGCCAGAATCTCTAATGATTTGTGCAAAAATTGAGAGATTGAATTGAGAAGTTTTGATGCATCCATCGTATTAAGCGATTCGCCTATCGCATAACTCTCACAATACAATGAAATTAATTTGTACAAAGATCGAAAGAAAAATTCATTGAAAAATCCCCTAAACACTTTGTCCTCGATCTATTCATATATACTAAGAATCCTATAAACTTAAATGTATTAATTTCCTACGCATTAGTTTATTAAAGTTAAACTTTTTTTTTTTAATTTTCTCAACTGTTTTTTTATTATTCTATGACAATGGTTAGCGTCAAAACTGAATTGATGGATGATGGCGCCAATTCAACGCTGTTCATTGCCAAAATCAATAAATCCGATTCGGGCAATTATTCGTGCTCAATAAACGAATATCAAAATTATACCATAATGGTACACATATTAAACGGTAAGTGTAATGCGTTTACCTATTATACAAATATATGCAAATATATATGCATATATATATAGTTAAGTAGCTGTGTAATGATCCTTTATTATTATCAGATTCCGGTATTACATATATATATATATATATATATATATATATAACATATATGTGCATTTGCAAACAAAAAGTTTGTAAACATGATTTCTCACTCTGCGCTCTGTGTACGCTGTGCGGAACTCTTCAATAATGGTAGATTGTTTGTTGCCCAAGTTAATATTTTTGCATAGAAGAGCATGTTTATGTGTGCATAAGCCTAAGCACATAAAACATGTTAATAATGCAATAATTGCTTTTCTTTTATATACTAATGTTTACATGTATACGCAAATTAAGTGTGTATGAGCATAAATTAAAGTCTAAACAGTTGCATATATTGCTACAAATTAAACACAATGTTTTTGTTCAATAATATTGAAATGTAATTAAGTTTAACATATGTACGTACATATATATATATATATATATATATATATATACACACACATTCATTCTCTCATATATACACCTTTACTCATACATGTTGTTTAGCATTTTAATTGTATTTACATACTCTCTAGAGAGAAAAACATTTTCTTGAAAAGTTAATTAAACTATAAATAAATTCACTTATATATATTATATATTAGTTTGGGGAAAAAGAAATCCATTATTTTTATATGAACTTCAGGACTTTATTTAACACGCTTCGGATTGTCCAATTTGGGTCAAATATGCACCGTTTTGTTGTATGATTTGTTGCCATTTTAAAGGTAACTTCAAAATGCCTCTCTCATAGAAGTCCTGGTCTCTATTTGCAAAAAACTCTAGTGGTCGATTTTCACAATCCTCCCTAGATTCCAATTTTTTATCATTAAAGAAATTTTGCAATGCAAGAAATAGATGATAATCGCTTGGTGCTAAGTCCGGACTGTATGGCGGATGCATTAAAACTTCCCAACCAAGCTCCCGAACTTTCTGGCGAGTCACTGTAGATGTGTGTGGCCTACCGTTGTCCTGGTGGAACACGACACCTCTCCTGTTGGCCAATTCTGGCCGCTTCTGGTCAATCACTATCTTCAAACGGTACAGTTGTTGACAGTAGAGATCAGAATTTAGCGTTTGGCCATATGGAAGCAACTCATAATAAATAATTCCCTTCCAGTCCCACCAAATGCATAGCAAAACCTTCCTGGCCGTTTGAGGTGCTTCACCGCTCTTTGACCACGATCGTTTTCGCACAGGGTTATCGTATGTGATCCATTTCTCATCTCCAGTCACCATCCGTTTAAGAAATGGGTCTTTCTCATTCTGTTTGGCCAAGGCTACGCAGATGGAAATTCGATCCATCATGTTTTTTTCTGTTAATTGGTGTGGCACCCAAACACTGAGCTTCTTTTTGAATCCAGCTTTGTGTAAATGGTTTAAAATTGTTTTATGGTCGATTTTTAGCTCCTGGGCGATGTTACGACTGCTAACATGCCGGTCAACTTCGATCATTTCTCCTACGACCGGCCTATCTGTGCGAGGTGCATCTTTAACATCAAAAATTCCTGAACGGAATCTACGAAACCAAAATTGCACATAATTGGCTGTTACAGTATCGGAACCATAAACACCATTCACAATTTTAGCCGCCTGGCTTGCATTTTCGCCTTTGTCAAAGAAATACTGTAAAATGTACCGAATTTTCTCTTTGTTCACTTCCATTTTTAACACGCTGTAACTCACAACTGAATGCACCAAACAAAAAACAGCGAAAGAATGTTTTTTACTGCGAAATGCCACCTTTCCAACGAGCATAAATCTGAAATTGTTTGATCGATACTTTACGAGAAATCTATCAGTGCAGCCATCTACCGAAAAAATAATGGATTTCTTTTTCCCTAAACTAATATATAGATGAGCACATTGAAAAACATGATTAAACCGATTTAGAATATGCGAATTTCTTCTAATCTCTTTTATATATTTCTACATATTAACAATTAACTAACAATTGTATTCAGATATAGTTGAACCTATCCTAACTTCCACTGTAATTTTTGCGACCAGGAGAAAGCTTACCGCAGTTGTTATATACAAGTGGACCAATGGACAAGTGGACATGCACTTCTTAAAATCTCTAAGTCTTTCTACACACTGTTGTCAACAAATTAACACAATGAATATATGGGCATAAAAGAAGATTAGCAAAGTTAATCCATCTCACCCATCAATTGCGATTATATGTGGCCAGTAAACGGACATAGGCATTACGAATGTTAGAAAATATTACAGAAGAACTTTAATGAAGCTTTTCTTTAACTATGCCTAAATGCAACTACCTCTCAAGACAAATTCAGATTAAAGCCGCAAATGCATGTCAACAGCGGACGGCTACTGTTGCGAATAGGTGAAGAAAAGAAATTCATACTCGATATTATGATCGAAACCATATTTTTAGTTGTACGAAATAGCTAGAAAGACTTTATATATAAGTTCAACTTTTATATTTCAATTTTTCGTTTGATGTCGACTCAGCTAATCTGTCTGTATGTCCATCTCTCCAATATTTATTCATGTAAACTTGCAATCATTTTTTTGATTACGTTTAGAGTCAAGGCTTAATTTTATTGAGAGAACTAAACTGCAGAGTATTGTACTATTTTTACGACAATTTACGACAACATTTAACGACTTTTTATGCATATAGAAAAAGCAACAAATTAGAATTAGAATTTAGGAAATATGTCGACAAAAATCATTAACTAGTCTTATGCCAACCTATTAAACTGATGGTCACCTAGCATCATAACGATGTGGTTAATTTGAAGTTAAGTTTTTATTAATAAAAGGCTACCTTTGTCTTGTTCAAATATTAGCGAATCAAGGAAAAAAATTCGACGAGATGCACTGGCTGTAGGCATTTAAATTAAGTGATTTTCTTCTTCTTTCTTTTTGTAAGTTCAAATTTACACCAGTTATGCTGCGTACCACAGAGCACCCTGTTAGGGAAAAAAATATGATTACAACAGTTGCCATCCTTAAGTAATCCGAATTTTAATTTAACTTCGTTTATCTAGTGTTTTTAGAGCAACACATATGATACGATTCGTGATTATTAGCTAAACATTGATGAGAATATAATATAAGTACTAAAGTAAATATTGAAGACAACGTACGTACAAAAACACTGCAGGATTTTTTAGCAAATCAATTAAGATTAACATAGGAAAAGACACACACACACACACACACACACACACACACATAAAATCTTACCAGTGGCATACGAACGTAGAGTATGCATGTCATAAGTGATTTTTTTTAAATTTTCACCTGAGTGTAATTCTAAGATGTCGACCTTGTCATACGCAAAGCATACCCACACACACACACACACACACAGACAAGAGGTGTATTTAGAGTCTTACATTAGTGCAAAAACTATTGAAAATACATTGTAACATAGTGAATAGATTTGTTGACCCTTCTTTACCTTCATCTACACTAAGTGTTTTTATAACAAATCATATCTGAGATCATGCCTTATGCTGGCTCTTTTAAGTCAATCTTACGCAAACAGTATACCCTTCTTCGATGCTTCTCCACCTACAGCCCTTCCTGATTGCCATGGTGCTTGCACGTGCTGGGGAACATCCTCTGATTGGTTGGTCATGCTCCAAAAAAGAAAAAATATAAAAAGGGCAGGATGAACCGCACAGACTCTTATGAGAATCATGGGAATAATTAAATTTCTCTGCCTTGGTTCATAGTTTAATGTCATTTATTTATACAAACTAGCTGTCTATGCATACAGAAGAAAACAAATACATTCAAAAGATAAGCAAAAGCTTATTTGTTGATGGAAGCTACGCATATGAAAAGTTTTGTCCAGTTTTCGGTGCATATAACAAATGAGGTAAGACTCATAGCCACGAAGAAATCCTATATCTTGGAGAGAAAAATTCATATTATATTTATTTAAACAGAATATATGTATGTGCGCATAAAACATTGAACACAGATCATATGTTTCGTTTTCGAATTATGCCAAAATAAACGAATTTGCAAAACTAAAGCAACTAAGAAAATTACGTTGGGCTGTGACGGTTTTCATTATCTATTCATTGGCTTTATTCTAAAAAAAACATTAACAAAAACAACAAGAAAAAACAAGAATTTTATACTGTGGAGTATAAGGTGGACGTGGCTGAATATTTCCATTTTTGTAGAATGTACGTGAAAGTTTTTATCGTGCGTCTACCGTGAACCGATCCGAATGATAAAGCTAATGTGTTGGTTGAAATGTTTGCTACAAACTCCAATTTACCGCATAGCAATAAATTACTGCGACCGCATGTTCGATGCTTGTATTATTCTTTCGAACGGTTCCCATCCAGCCGCAACACTCGTAAAACTCTAGCCGGCGGAAAAGTTCGTTGAAACGCTTGCCACTCCATTGCGCAATCTTTTTAGCAAGTGCTACTATGCTAGCGTTTTATTAACTTGCTGAAAGGTTGCCATTGTCTCACCCATACCAAAGAGGGGTGACCCAACAAATCCTGCAAACTATCGCCTAATTGCAGCCGTTTCCGCCGTAGTCAAAATCATTAAGACCATGTTTAACTACCAACTAATCCGATATCTAGAAATCAACGACTTAAAAATCAACTCACTGGTGACCTAACACCCTATCTCAATGAAAGGTGACTACTTTGGCGGAAGTAAAACCAGTACAATATATATCTCCAAGACTTTCGACAGAGTATGGCATGAGGCTCTTGTCTGCAAACTCAATGCATAGGGTGTCGATAACGATTTCGCTTGATTCATATGGAGTTTCTTGGCCAGCCGTTCGATAAGAGCTGCAATCGACGGGTATTCTTGAAACGTAATCTATTTGAATGCAGGTGTACCACAAGGATCTGTTCTCTCCCCTTTTCTTTCCCTGGTGTTCATGAACGGTCTCCTGTGCATAAGGGGCGATACAATTTACTCGTTTTTAGATAACAACACCTCCCGTCATTTATTGCTTTAGCAAGACAATATGCGGCAAAACGATACGGAATAAACGCTGCATGATGAATAACGCAGTAAGTGGGGACCTTATAGAAATATGTGAATGAGATCGAGGGTAAATAGGGTAAGTTTTAATGGCACCAACAGCAGTGAAAACACGAAATGATGTCCGTTGAACAGAACACGTGTTCGAAGTATCGAAAGATATAGCCTATGGGCGGCAAAAACGAAACCAAAACTCTCGTTATTTTTGAACAGCGGCGTAATGTGGGCTGTGTTGCGCTTATTCACCGTTCAGGCTAAGGATTCTAGAAGATAAAGAGACTTGTCCACCAATTCGGTCCTTTAATGGGATTATATGGTTTTCTCAACGCTCCCACATAATTGCTCTAGAATTGCATGTATATCGTAGGACAAATTATTTCGGGGCGCAAGGGTCTTCCTCCCCGTTCCCGATATTTAAATCAAACACCAACACTATTCTCTCCTTACATCCTTCTCTACGTAAAATCCTTATTGATCACGACACGTATAGGGAAAACCCTATATATGAAAAAATCGCTTGAAAATTTTACACAGTATCGGTAAAATTTAATTTTTCTTTTTTTTTTTTTTTTCATCTACATCAACACATGGATAATCGTTTATTTTCTCTTCTTCGTTCTTTACTGTTTCAAAAAAATATACTATGCCTTTCAAATAAAATTAATTAGCCGGCTTTTGCACGGGCCTTTAGACCTCAAGGGGAAACGTTGATGATTTGTCAGTCTTTGATTTATTTTGAACTGGTGTATTTAGTAACTGCTTTTGTTCCTTCACTGACAGCATGTTTGGCCAATTCGCCTGGCAATAAAAGACGAACGGCAGTTTGAATTTCCCGACTTGTAATAGTTGAACGTTTATTATAATGAGCTAAACGAGATGCTTCAGCCGCAATACGTTCAAAGATATCATTGACAAAGCTATTCATAATACTCATAGCCTTGGATGAAATACCGGTATCTGGATGTACTTGCTTTAAGACTTTATAAATGTAGATAGCGTAGCTTTCCTTCCTTTTACGTTTCTTTTGCTTGTCGTTTTTGGTGATATTTTTTTGAGCTTTATTGGCTTTCCTGGCTGTTGTAGGTTTAGGAGGCATCGTAGTTTGCTTTTCAGTACCAAACTTTACTTATAATCTTTTATTACTATTTTCTTTTTAATTTCAATAGACCGTATGAAAGGAATTTTATTCTGAACACAGCCTGCTATTCTCAGAAATCTGTTAAGAGTTGTGTGCGTTTTCAAAGAGAGAATTTTTATAAAATATTACGTCAAAAGGAAAAGTAAAAAATGACTCGAGGTAAAAAGTAATGACAAGAAAAGCAAGACTTAGACAAGATTTATTGTAGAAAGTGGTGTAAAATTCATTTCGGAATCTTATTTTGAAATTGAAGAAACCCGGAGCACAGTAAGCTTAATTTCCACAAAAATTATTTTTGAAAAACGCTTTCGTTTTATTTCTAATCTATTCTGCCTGCGACGAACAATTTCATCGCTTGTACTTGTGCGGGCGAAAATCATTTTCACTACCAATTACTTTTCATATTCATTCATTTACTCTCAATTGATTTACCTGAAATACAAATCAATTGTTTACCATCAACTTGATAGGCCACTTAACGTTTCGCTTCCATATAAGACGCTTCTTATGGTATTCTTGAATACTTAAGGGATCATTTAAGCCAATTAACAAAAACATAGGAAAAAGAAAAATTACAAATAACAAGATTACGATATTACTTACACCTTTAAGCAGTCATCGGTAGAGAATAGAAATTATAGATGAATTTTTATCAATTCTTTACTTACTCCGAGTCGAGAAATGTATTAACAATCAACGATTTGTAAAATTGCACAAAAAAAAAAAAAACATTCATAACTGAAATACTACATATTTACTTATTTTATATATTCACAGATTTTTTTGTTTCAGCATGAACCTCTTAATCACGATTTATCCCGAATTTTTCCCTTTATCAAATACATTTCGAACATTCACCGCACATAAGGCAAGAGTGAGCCATGAGTGAAATATCGATTTCGTGGCGATTTTAATTACGTGATGTGTTTCTAAATGATAAAAAGATATTGATGAAATTGATATATAATCATTGTGTCAGTCTTATAAAAATAATATTTATGTTAAAAATAATTGTTTTCTATGGTTTTAATGCGTTTTTCTCGATTGTTGATGATGCTTTGAGCAATGTTCACATTAATAATATATAAGCGGATTAAACTTATGATTAAATTACATTTTTTATATATATATATATACTATAATAATAATAATAATAATAATTTATTTTTCTCTATTACTTTTTTTTTTTGTTTTTATTTATCGCAGGCGAAAGTTTCGCGGAACTACACCATGGTTCAGCGAATTCGTGGTACTCAGCGAATTATCAATTGCTGTTAATTAATCTTATATTATTAATCAAATTAATTCTGTGTTGGCCGATCATCAATGATAGGTAAAAGTAAATGTTTACCTATATAACGAATATTTTCCCTGTTATCCTAAAGCAGCATTCATCACTCACTTATCATGTAGCGGAATGTGGCGAAAAGGAAGGATGAAAAAGAAAAGTAAATAGAAACAAAAAAAAAAAAAAACATTAATAAATAAAAAAAAATAAATAAAAATAAAAGAGAGAAAGAAGAAATTAAGACGTAAGAAAATGCAAAAAATACTGATAGTTAAGTTCTACAAAAAAGTTTGTTTAACAAAATAATAAAGTAAAAGGTGTAGAAAGATAAAATTAAAATAAATAAATAAATAAATAAAAGAAAACAGAACTTACAATGAATTTCATTGAGCATAAAAAAAAAAAAAATAAAGCAAATAAACAAGCATTTAAGTTATTGAAAATAACTTGAATGTGCATATAAAGAAAAAAAAAGAAAAAATAACAACAACAATTAATATAAAATAGCAATAAAGAAAAACGTAATTAGATTAATAATTTGTATGTAAATAATAAACATAAAGAAAAACACTCCTCGTTAATTTAAATTTGATTTCATTACAAGAAAAAGTTTTCCAAAAACTTTCATAATTGAAGTCGTATACGTAAAGAGAAAGTTCGCCATTAGGAAATTGTGGACTAACCACCACCATCTTGATCCCATGAACAACATTTATGTAAAGAAATTCATCGAATTGCTCTTATCTAGTGCAGTGCATTGATTGCTGTTCTTTTATATTTAACCGTTCAGCATAACGTCTCTTACTCACAGTTAATAAGCATTTTCTTTTGACGAATACAAAGATTATCGTTCTCTGCTTTACTTGAGCAATACTCTTAAGCTTTAAAAATTTTTATATCATTATCGAAAGCAAGTGAGCAATCAGTCCCTTAACGTAAACGAATAATTATTAAAAATCATTTCATTTGTTGAGAACATCTTACACGATATACGTCTCATACCGTCATCTCGATATTGCCAAAGAAATCATTTTTGTGTGAAGCGATACCGACAATCCCTAATAATAATGGCAGCGATTTTTCACTTTAAAAACTATCCGAGTTTATCAATGGCAAACAAAGACGATTAATTATCTCTCGCCCGCAACTTATATGTTATATAAGATACATTGCTTAACAAAGAACATAAGCCAAAAAGATGCCGTTCTTCATGTTCGATAATCTATTAATGCCATACCATATTGTAGTTAACTTATGGACGTTTTGCTAAATGTTCAAATCCATATAGAAGTCTTCTATACAAGTCAAGTAGAAAACTTCGTTAACATGATGCGTGTGCATAGCGATTTTGAAGCCCTTTAAATGGTTACTCATTATTAGTATTAATTACGTGGACACGCAATATCGCGATTTAGCCCTGGCCCCGGCCCGCCAGTTTTAAGATTTTTATGAATCTCACCACCTTCTTTGGATCGGAGCACCATACCATCTTCGGCATTATAAAATGCTTGCTAAACACATGGCGTCTGATTCGGTAGACGGCCTTACATTCACATGGAATATGATGGAACGTTTTACTTGTCCCTTCGCAGAATCTACTTGAATCGATATCAACACAGCCATGTTTTTCGGATGACACCTGTAAGAATTATGATCCATGTAGTAGGTTGCTTCTTCTTGGTTCCAGCAGTCTATGTGCCCTACCGAAAGATTCTACGAATCGTTTGTCTGCCGTTGCTTGCTGCACATTGCTTCCAACAACAAGCCGCTTTGTTCTCTGTCAATTGCAGTACCAATCTATTAATCTGGCTTCTTGGCCATAGAAAGAATCAGGACGTACCATGGTCTTGCGGCCTGCTCTGTTGGCTAGACAGTTAGCACTCTCCCTGTTTGCCCTCAACACCCGAATTGCCAGGCATTTCATTTTGCCTGCCTAGCTTGGTTGCCGGAGTATACGCACATCGGCTCTCTCCTGCACAGGCTTCCTAAGCATTCAGATGCACATACGGTGACTGCTTGAACTTCTGCTTGGAATATGTGGGAACAATGTCCCATTGGTATGGCCTTTTGAAAGCTCAGGCCACAAATCCCAGCCACAGTTTGCCATTTTCCAATTTTGAACCGTTAGGTACTATTTCCTTGTTTCCACCACGGGCTCAAAAGCTTGTCAGTACCAGCCCGATCTCATCGGTATGGTCAGCTTGAATCGGCGAGATAGTACTAGCTTTATAGCACAATGGTCTGGTATTTCGACAAAAGGTTTGTCTACGAAGTTTTTTTTTTCGATATCTGAAGGCGGCCCCTGAAATTTCCCGGTTTTAATTTATCGATATTTGACAGTCTAAATGCGCTCAGACAAGCTTCTTTTTCTATGGAAATAGAAACAAGTACGATGCCCAGCAGCGTCTCTCGAGAATTCGAAGAGTAGCATCACGTCGCCACGGTAATGCCAATGCACACGAAACTTTGGCTTTTATTTAATGTTGTTGTCGCCGGTTTTTGCTTCATCTTAGACCACTAGATCATAGTTGCGCCAGTTAGCGTAAATGTTTACTTAATTAAAAAACTTAGGAACGTTGATTGTCTTATGCGCTTCTGAAATCTTAGACTTGTTGCTCTAAAACGTAGCGGCACAAATATTTCTAACATTTTCTTCGCGAGCTATAAGTGCTTAAAACGAGAATCGCTAAGCGCCAATGATGTACAGCTATCTAAGGTGTTATTCCTCGGCGATGGATGTAAGTCAACCTAACTTTTATCCACACAATATATTTAATTAAAGTGTAATCAGAAGTTCTTCTTTATACGAATTCCTTTTCTGTGAAAAGTTCCGCTTTCCTTAACTAAAGGCCACTAACAATGAAGAAGACGCTATCCTTCGTACAGTAATTTCTTTTTCTATTTTTGCGTAGAAAAATATTTCTTTAATCACCGTAATAATTAAAACGCTTTTTGAAGGCGTTACTAAGAAACGATAACATCACGTCATTAATAGAATATGCAAGCTTATGGGAATTATACGGAGTATTTTTAAAATGATTGTATACTTTTTCGCTTTTTCGAGGAAAAGTGCCCTAAAATGGAGGAAATTATCCATGTCATGTATTATTCGTTTACTTACACTCATCTACTTCAACACTTAACGTGCCTTGGTTTTTGATGAACAAACTCAACGATGATAATATTGATGACGGGATATATTAAGCTTGTTCGGATATATACAACATCGGGAAGAACTTAGCTTAAGAAAGACTCACCCTAATGGGGTCACCTGATTGGGGAACATTGAAGCTGAAGGGCTTTCTTGAAACGTAATGTCTTTACAAGATTGTTACGAAACTTGTGTTAGGCGTAGATTGTGCAGAGGTTTATTAAAAAAAAAGAAAAATAAATTAATTACCCGATGCAATGACTTCGAAACCACGACGATCCATGTAATTACGATATTAAACCTCGTATACCGCCTAATAAGGACAAGAAGAGACGTCATAGCCCGTCATCATAGATATATAATGTTCGCCTTCAATTATTTGTGGATTTTAATGTAATCTTAAAAGTGTGCTTTAACAAATGTTTGACTAATAAGAATCTGACGGTCGATTTATTCTCGGTAACAATTTGTTCCAATCCCTTCAAGTCGATATGGTGGTGCATATATAATAGTAAAAAAAAAAAAAAAAAAACATGAAAGGATATGCATGTTGTTATTCAGTTCGTTTACATTGATAATAAAAAATTAAGAAAAAGAAAGAGAAAAAGGCCAAAAATACCTTTGTACGTATTTCAGAAATATTCAAAGTACCTATGGATTTTTTTTTAATTTCCCAATCACTGAATGTATTTGTGTTCTCTCCCTCATAATGTTTATGTAAAAATTTTGCAAATCTCCAAAAAAAAAAGAGAAATGAAAAACAAACTACTACACTAGACGTTTAAAAAATTAATCAATCGGCGGATGTTTGGACGATATTTTCCATAATATTTATCTGACTAAATTAGTTTAATGAAATTATTCAAATTGTGTACACAAAAAACAAAACACCTAAGGTAAATTCAAAAGACGTAATAATAATAATAATAAAAATTATAAAAATAATATAGATAAATAAATTAATATGAAACTTGTAATAATATAGAAATAATGTACATGTATATATACATATGTATGTATGTATATCTACACATGTATACACAATTATACATATAAATGTATATATACGAATATGTATACGGATATATATATGATATATATGATATATGATATATATATATACATATACCTATGTATATACACACATATATACACAATTATATATATAAATGTATATATATGCATATATATGCAGATATACAGATATATAAATATATATACATACATACATATACATACATACATATACATAT